GCCTATTTTTGTATTTTTAATAGAGATGGGGTTTCACTATGTTGGCCAGACTGGTCTCGAATTCCTGACCTCAGGTAATCCACCCACCTCAGCCTCTCAAAGTTCTGGGATTACAGGAGTGCGCCACTGTGCCCAGCTTCTTTTCACTTTTTATTTTATTTATTTTTTCTGTGACCCAAGTTCAATCAAAGGTCATTTCACTTTTTAAATGTGGCTACTAAGAATATTTTAGTTATATTACGTGACTTGCATTATATTTCTGTTGCATAGTAGGACTATGGTGTGGCGTCTCCGATAATGAGGCCTACCACATACACTCTGGATTTGTTCTGTTTCTACTCCCTTCTCGCTCTCCCACCTACCTGTGCCTCATTTATGCCCAACGTTCTTAGAACTAATGTGGCCCCCTGTGATGCTCCAATTTTTGATCAGGAATAATCAATAAACATATGGTGAGAGTGCACTTCTGATGGATTGCAGAGTAAGACTGTGATCTATTGGAACCTACGATTAAATGTAAACTCTAAGTTGCAAATTTAATACAGTAATTTGTTAATTGATTTGTTTGAATGTGTAAGTATTTAGGCTTCAGGAATTACTGCTGACTTCAACATCATATCTATCAGAATATGTACATGGGACGGATTACCCAGACTTGACAGTCAGTTCATGATGGGCATTTGTCATCTCTGTATGCCTCAATGTTGTTTTTGTTTCCTATGAAGCAAAGATGATGGAGTGGCACACATAGTTTTAGACAAAGCTATCAGCACCCAGCACCACGCACACACTAAGAGGAAGAGAGATTATCAGGATACCACTGGGGGTACAGCTTCAAGTAAAGTTGATCTCCATTCACTCCCTGCTTCCTGAGGTTGAGATGGTTGGCCCATCTCTCCCTCCTCATTAATCCTCAGCTTTCCCTCTGCTTGTTGCTAAAGCACATACTGACTGTACCAAAATGAGCTCTAGGTACCCACACCTTTTCAACACAAATGCTATTCACAGGTAGGTTCTTTCCCCTATCCACCCACCCACTCCCACTCATTCCAGAGCAGACAAAAGTGCAGGAAAGTAGGGAAGACAGGTGATTGGGTGAGCATATAAATCTTGTTCCCTTTCTGCTGTGTTGTTGACTCACATCTTGTTCTTTAATTTCTTTTTTTAAAATTTATTTATTTATTGCTGAGTTCCCAAGAGCTAGAAAATATAACTTATTCTTTGAGTCACTTTTTCACTGGACTCTGCTTTACAATTGAAAACAAAACAATAACAGGGCATTCAAAAATACATCTTAAAGTATTTTTGGATTTATTGTGTGATTATTTGGAATGTGGCCAAAATTCTTGCTTCATTCCACTGTTGTAGTCAAGTGGCTTCTGGTGGAAAGGTATCCAGGTGAAAGGAATGAAATAAATATCTCTGTTTCAACTTGTCTTCATCATCATGGGTGTTTTTGTTGTTGCATTATGATTAATTTTGTGAGAATAATGTTTCTAGCTATTTGAAACTCTTCACTTAGAGTTTCTACAAGATTGCATGGCATTGAATTAAACAGCCATGTATATTATTCATTATCACGCTGCTATAAACATCTACCTGAGACTGGATAATTTATAAAGAAAAGAGGTTTAATTGACTCACAGTTTTGCGTGGCTGGGGAGGGCTCAGGAAACTTCCAATCATGGTGGAAGGTGAAGGAGAAGAAGGTGTGTCTTACCATGGTGGAGCACGAGAGAGAGAGAGAGAGTGAAGAGGAAACTGCTACACATTTTTAAACCGTCAGATCTCATGAGAGCTCACTATCACGAGAACAGCATGGAGGAAACTGACCCCATGATCCAATCACCTCCCACCAGGTCCCTCCCTCAACACGTGGGGATTATAATTAGAGATGAGATTTGGGTGGGGGCACAGTGCCAAACCATATCAAGCCAATAGAACCTTTTAACAAAAAGAACAAAAGTTTCCTATAAAAGACCCCTCCCCACAACATTTGGAGAATAAGGGAAATATCTTGTTGACAGGAATTTGAACTGAGAACCAAGAAAGTGCCATCTTTGTTCTATTATTGTTTTGATTTGTTAGATGAACTCACAGAAATGTCCTCTAAGCTTCAATTTTGCCATCTGTGAATGGGGGACAGAGTGTTCTTTCTATGTCATGTTCAGATGGGCACTGCAATAAAAGCAATAAACTAATGCAAAAGGAAGAAATTATTTCTTAAACCACAGTAGTCTTGATTGACATTTGAAATTCTTCCACAGCTCCAAATTCTGTGATTCTAAAAAATAAAATGCTTTCACTCTTTTCAACCACCATGTTTAAAAATACTGGTAAAATCTAAAGACCTCTTTCATATTATGGTAAGCTAGGCTATAATTTTTGACATACATAAACTTCCAGGGTGCTGTTTTCTCTCTTCATATTCAAAGCTGAACATCTACTTGTCAGGACTTTCTACTTCCTCTCTCTCTGTTCCAATACCCAAAGGTTATGTGGATTTAAAAAATTTCTCGACCAGCCTGGCCAACATGATGAAACCCCCTCTCTACTAAAAATACAGCTGGGCGTGGTGAGACACGCCTATAATCCCAGCTATTCGGCAGGCTGAGGCAGGAGAATTGCATGAACCCACAAGGTGGAGGTTGCAGTGAGCGGAGATTGCGCCACTGCACTCCAGCCTGGGATGAACAAGTTTGAGTAACCTTCCAGCGGCAGTGGGTAAGCCAAAGAAACCAAAACCTCAATGAATCCTCTTTGCATTAAAAGAACTGTTGGAATTCTGAAAACGAAACAATTCCTTCCCTTTTCAGGGCCAGGGGTTGAGATCAGCCTGGGCAACAGGGCGATAGAGTGAGACCCCATGTCTGAAAAAAAAATGTTTTTAAAAACTAGCTGGGCATGGTGGTGCACACCTCTAGTCCCAGCTACTTGGGAGGCTGAGGTGGGAGGATCACTTCAACCCAGAAGGTCAAGGCTACAGTGAGCTATGTGATTGCACCACTGCATTCTAGCCTGGGCAATAGAGCAAGACTGTCTCAAAAAACAGATAAAAACAAAAACAAAACAAATCGTTTTCTTCACTTCTCATCAGAAGGATGAAGCTAATCTCTATGAAAAGATGGACTCCTGAGAACATTACCAATTATTGGATATTATGGCATAAAACGCTGTTACTATTGTCATAAAAAGGCTAATGTAATATAATATTTAAATTTATTTTTATTTTCAGATTAATTTTCCTACCAAAAGCACTACTTCCCAATCTAATTCATCTTCTCAGAGTTTTGAAAGCATCATCAGATTAAAAAAAAATATTAGTGTAAATTGAATGTCTGTAGATCTCAGTGACCCACTGCTATAGCTAAGGTCTCATTAATTGTAATAGCCTAGATGCCATCAATTCTCGCCCCTCACAAGAATTGTCCCCTCTACTTGACTTCGATAGCTCAGCCCCCTGACAGCCTCCCATGTCTCCCATTACGAGAGGTCCAATAGGATGTGCTCCCTACGTGCACTGAGCCCCACTTCAGCTCTGCGGACTTGGTGGCCTCTGCTAGACTCTGCTGCCTGTCCTTCTAGGGTCACCAGAGTCTGTCTTGGGGCTCCAGTGAGTGCTACCCTGACCCTCAGCCACTGCTGCCTGTCCACTTGGTAGATTGCCAATATACCAGGTTCCCAAGGAGCCAAAGTTGTCCTCGCTCCGTTTCAGTTACACTCTGTTAGAGCAGTCCTAAAATGATGCCATTTGTGCCTTGGTATTTTGCAGAGATTTGAGGAAATAGCTATTTGGTTTTTTTATCTACTGGCTTCCTGCTCTCTGTGAGTCAGACATGAAGAACATCAGAGTGGGGAGGGAGACAGATCGGGGCCAAGAACCAGCATCCTTCTTACTCAGGACTGCCCCTCTCTTCTGACAACCAAGATTTCATCCTAAGAAGATCTCTCCCTTTTTTTTTTTTAACCTTTAACTTCAGGGGTACATGTTCAGGTTTGTTACATAGGTAAACATGTGTCATGGGGGTATGTTGTACAGATTATTTCATCACCCAAGTGTTATGCCTAGTACCCATTAGCTATTTTTATTATCTGGAGTAGCAGAAGGGAGACTTGCTTCATTTTAGTGACACGCTTGACTCTACTTGACTCCACAAGGACTGAACCCTCTGCAGGTATCCTACTCTGTTCTGGAATTCTCTTGTAGTAAAGCCTCTCCCCCTCCCACCACTCATGGAAACGTTACACTAATAGGTTTCTGTGCACACCCTTCACTCTCGATAGGTCGCAGTGTGTTTTGTTCCCCTCCATGTGTCCATGTGTTCTCATCATTTAGCTCCCACTTGTGAGAATGGCAGTATTTGGGTTTCTGTTCCTGTGTTAGTTTGCTAAGGATAATGACCCACAGCTCCATCCATGTCCCTGCAAAGGACATGACCTTTATAGAACTACCATTCAACCCAGCAATCCCATTACTGGGTATGTGCCCAAATGAATAGAAATCATTTTATTATAAAGACACAGGCACACTTATGTTCACTGCAGCATTATTCACAATAGCAGCGTGGAACCATCCTAAATGTCCATGAGCTATAGACTGGATAAAGAAAATGTGGTATATTTACACCAGGGAATACTGTGCAGCTGTAAAAAAGATCTCACTTTTCTTGACACAAATGATCTAGAAGACTTCAGTCGCCCCCACCAGAGCTTTCCTTTAGGTCTCTGCACTAGCTCACCCAACAAGCCTGAACTTCCTGTAGTGGGCAAGTCCCACACACAAGCTGAGATCCTGTTAAGTGAAGATTTACTCTTATTCTGATGAAAACCACTCCAGACCACAGGGGATTTAACTTGAGGTTGAGGGACTGTGGGTTGAAGACAGGAGGAATGTGAAACCAGCAGTAAGGGCAGGTGGGGGAGGGGAGGCTGGGAAGCTTCCCAGGAGGACTCCCGGTGGGGTGGTTATCTCTTCACTCAGGCTCTCATTCTCTCTCCAGAATGACATCTTCGAGTGGTCCAGGGACCACCGAGTCCACCACAAGTACTCAGAGACGGATGCTGACCCCCACAACGCCCGCCGGGGCTTCTTCTTCTCCCATATCGGGTGGCTGTTTGTTCGCAAGCATCGAGATGTCATTGAGAAGGGGAGAAAGCTTGATGTCACCGACCTGCTTGCTGATCCTGTGGTCCGGATCCAGAGAAAGTAAGTGAATGGGCATTAAAGAGAGCTACCTGTCCCTCGGGGGCCAGGACAAAGAGACAGCACAATGAGGTGGACTCATAACCCTGTAGCATCCTCCTCAAGCATTTGCCCTAATGATTTTTTTGCCTTATTTATAAGACTTGTCTCTGTTTATTAATTTCCTTTTGCTCATTAAATTTTGCCCATTGGCACATTTGTTTTGAGTTTTAAGTTTCATTTTTAATGGATTTCCTTTAAGCCAGTGTCATTATCTTCAGATTAATCTTGCATGGCTGATTTCACGGAATCTGTTCCTGTGGTTCCCCACTGCCCCATTCATGATTCTCTGGAGTATCAGAAGGGGGGCTTGCTTCATTTTAGTGACACCCTTGACTCTACTTGACTCCAAAAGGACTAGACTCTCTCCACGTATCCTATTCTGTTCTGGAATTCTCTTGTAGTGAAGCCTCTCCCCCTCCCACCACTCATGGAAATGTTACACTAGTAGGTTTCTGTGCAGAGAAAATGAGACTGTTCAACAGAGGGCCTCAAAGCACTCGTATGCCCTGATGGTGTCAGCTGAGCATATTGAATCCACCAGCATTTGCAGAATGAAGCTGCTTTCTACGAGCACATGAAGAAAGAGTGCCTATAATGGTGCTGGCAAGTAGAGCGCAACCTTTGTTCTCAGGTTGGCCTGTGTCTGCAAAGGTTGGCCATGATGAGCTTGTAGCACCTAAAGCAATAGATTTATGTGTAAAGATGGCAACATATGGACCACACTCTGATTAGAGCCTTGATATAACATGGTGAATAAGTGGTTACTAGTGATCACCTCCACTGATGGGTAGGAGTCATCTGAGGACTTACTTAATCAGAATCTCCTTTTCTGATGGACATGGAGGCTATGCCTTTGTCCAACACAGGAATCTTTGCATGAAAGGAAGGATGGCTTAGGAATGTGCTCTTTTCCACTAAAGCCTCCCCTTTTATGCTGCGGGGAGCAGTAGAGCATAGTGAGAAACTGGCAGACCATGGAGACAGACTGCTGGAATCAGACTCTGTGACTCCTCCACTTACTGGCAAATGAATTAACCACTCATTTTCATCTATAAAATGGGAGTAACAGTTATACCTATCTCCTACAGCTTTTACAAAGATACAGTTTTAAAATGTATGGAAATTGCCTGGCACATAGTAAGAGCTCAGGGAATGTCAGTGATTATTACTATTACACAGGCAGTTGCTAGATTAGAGAATTCTGTGTGTTTCCATCACTGCTTTCTGTTAGCTCCACTGTAGGGTTTTCTCTGTATATCTCAATACAGCTCTTTTAGGTGAAAACACCCAGTATTGATTCAGCTCTTTTAGGTAAAAATACCCAGTATCAAGTTTTAAAGCAGAAAATAACAAGATGTTTTCAATTAACAATTCAATGATTTATGGATGTTGATTTTCTCCATGAAAGTAAAATATTAAAGGTCGTTAGAGAAAAAGCCGAAAAATTCAGAGAAGTAGGAAGAAAATCTTCACCGTCTTAACATAAACCGACACTATTAATATTTAGTAGTATTTCTTTCTATTTCATATATTTTGCATGACAGCAGTCATGTTGCATATGTAATTTTATGTCTAACCTTTAACTTCAGATTATATTGTAGACACCATTGTCAAGGGTTGCAGAAGAGTCCATCAGTTGTGGATGTCATAGTTTATTTAACTGTCACTCTGCCGTTAGCTATGTATGTCATTTCCAATTCTGTGATACAGATGATGTTGCTATATAATTAGTAATGCTTTGGGACAATCAGACCTTGGATTAATTTGAAGAGCTCAGATGAGAAGGCAAAAGATTTTCTGTTTTATTAATGAGAAATGGGCCGGGTCTAACAGTCTGGGTTTCTCTGACCATAAAAATGGAATTTTTTTTTCATCTTTTCTCATAAAAAATGTTGTAATCTGATTCATTATGTGTGTACTGGCGGCACATATGTCTAAAGACTATTTCTAAATGCAGGAAGAAGAACAAAGACTATTTCAGCAAGTTCCCTGAATAGTCATCTGAGAACATCTTTCATCACCAGTCCAGTGACTAAAGGAGGCTGTGGCTATCGGAAAGCATTCATTCATATCATCATGTCACATATATCATTGAGCTCCTGCTGGGAATCAGTGCTGAGGATACAGCCTAAAATTGGCCTCTGTCTTCTCAGAACTTGCAGGTTCTAAACTATAGAGGTCACCCCTAGTTGCCTGGTCCAGCACCAGAATGATTAAGGCAGAGGAATACTGCTCTCTGAGAGTACAGGCCAAACAGAGGAGGTATGGCTCTGGATCGTGTAGTTTGCGTGTTAAAGTAAAGGCTCCTGGCTGTGCCCTTTATTATCTCTAAGAATTGCCTAGGCTCAGGAAGGTCAGGCTCTTCCCAGCCAGAAAGGTTTTTAAGATGTCAAAACATCCTAATATGTATGTGTGTGTTTGTGCAATACATCCTATGAGCCAGCTAATAAAATATAGATAGAAAGTTGAAGCTAGAGGGCCGGGCACGGTGGCTCACGCCTGTAATCCCAGCACTTTGGGAGGCCAAGGCGAGTGGATCACAAGGTCAAGAGATCGAGACTACCCTGACCAACATGGTGAAACCCCGTCTCTACTAAAAATACAAAAAATTAGCTGGGCATGGTGGCGCGTGCCTGTAATCCCAGCTACTCAGGAGGCTGAGGCAGCAGAATTGCCTGAACCCAGGAGGCGGAGGTTGCGGTGAGCCGAGATTGTGCCACTGCACTCCAGCCTGGGTAACAAGAGCGAAACTCTGTCTCAAAAAAAAAAAAAAAAAAAAAAAAAAAAAAAAAGAAGAAAGCTGAAGCTAGAAGTGCATGCATTTTAGATTATTCACTCAATGTTCTTGTGATTGAAAGGGGCTACAGCAGTCCTCAGATGTGTGGGTGAGCACTGATGTCCTTTGGTAATTATATAGCATAGAGAACATAGAGATCCTTAATCCAAAATAAAGCTTAGAATCACTGAACTAAATGAAGAAAGTTTCCAACATACACAGAAGCAGTCAGCTGTTCAGATGTTTTCATGTTCATGAAGCTGGCTTTACTGGTCCTGCCAGTTAGGCTGTGGAGAGGAGACAGTCCTCACAGGAATTGAAGCATTATATGTGGGAGTATGAGCTGGAGGGGTGGATCCTGGTGTCAGGCACTGTCACAGCAGAGCTCAGTTCTTGCTATTCTGGGCTGAATGGAGAGCTTCCTGAGTAACAGAGAAAGGTGCCCAGATGCATTTGGGGCCCAGACTTGGGTTATTTCAGTGGCACACCTCTCGTGGGCTGAATCTCCACCTGCTCCTGTTTGATTTTCTGAGAGCAACAGTCCCTATTTCAGTTGGAGGCAATCAGAATCCATAGCTGACTCCACCACACTGCCAGGGTGCAGTGTTTGTGCAGATCAGTGAGCTAAGTGCCCTTGGAGAGTTTACTCAAACAGGTGTTAGAGACTGAGGATTTAGAGACTCCTCCTTCAGTCCACTCAGGGCACTAACACAGATACGGCAGCTGATTGATAAACTTTAGCTGAGCCATCCTAATAACAACTTACTAAAGAAAAGCTCGGCAGAGTCAAGCTTAATGAGATTTCCTTTGTACAGTCTCATGGAAGAGAGAAGGTGGGAGCAGGAAAACAACACGTTTCAAGCTATACTTCTAGACCCTGAAAGATAATCTCACCAAGGCTGTCATAACAAGTAGTTAACTGGACTAAACCACATTTTGCTGTGCTGTCAACGTGTACGTTGTGTAAAGGCAGCCATTAGGCGGTGCAAGGGAGAGAAGCCAGGGATATTTCCTTTTGGCCTTGGCAACTAGGGCCCCTGTCCTAGGTCTTACGACTTAAAGGGCCACACTTCTCTCCACAGAGTGAGGAGATCACAGGGCTAATGGAACATCTCACCTGCCTGAAGCTTCCTTGACTTCTGGGCCACACCCTGGATTCCTAGGGTCCTAGAGTCCTGCCTAAATGGCTCTGAGCTCACTTCTAGAGCCTATAGCAGCCTCTTCCTGGGCTCTGTCCTCCCAACAGGAAATATGTAGAGCCGAGGCCTGCAGAGTGTCTAAGGGGCAGTGTTAGCACAGGGACTTAAGCTGAAAAGTATGAACTCAGGTATCCACCCAATGGGACAGAGCAAAAAGGGAAAAGGAAAAGGTATGAACCACAGGGTAGGGACTTCCACCTATATACTCTTTGCCTGAACCCTGCAAATGTTGAGATGAACCTATCAGTGAGCCATTCATAAGGTTGAGGGTGAATCCATCAAGAATTATGTTTGGCTTACATGAGAGGGCATGCACTGCAGGGGTCAGTAGAGAACTGGGATTCTTTCATGTTTCTGCTCTACCATCCTTAGCAGGGGACTTTCATTGTCAGTGTTGTTTCATGGTGTAGATTGATCACTAAAGCTCCAACCAGAAGGGAAATCAGGGAGGCCAAAGGGAGCACACTGCTGAGTTGAATCAGTCACTTTTAAGGAGTCTTCCTAGAAGATACATACAACCTATCCACTTGTCTTTCATTGACCATATCTGTACCCAAGGGAAATGGGAAGGTGTGTTCTCTTGGTTAATACATCAGACCCTTGAATAAAATCTTGGTTTTGTTTCTAAGGAAGGAAGGGTGAATAGATATGGGGTAGACAATTTGCAGTGTCTGCCACAGCCACCCGGTTGCTCTGCCTTAAGCAAAGTGATTGGCCATCTCCTATTATTCAGTCTTACTTTTTGTGAATCAAGGGGGTAGCCTCTCTGTCTCCACTAATGAGCAGAAACTGGAATCTCAACTCATCTTTCTGAGATAGCAAAATGAAGATAAAATCCAGAGACTGTTTCTCCTAATGCTTTGCTTATTCCATTGAGTCCCATTTTAGGAAAGACATTCCTCTAGAGGTTACATGTAAACACTGTCATGCATTTTTAAAGTAATCAGAGAGGATGCTAGTCCAGACACAAAGTCCTTGCCTCATCG